AAAATGTGAATTTACTTTAAAAAATCAATACTAAACAGTGTAAATAAAATACAAACTACAAATTAAAAATACTGCTTTTTATTTTACAAATACAGGGCTTTAATAAACTGACTGTTTCCAGAAAAGAAAAAAAAAAAAAAAAAAAAAAGTTTATGAATAGAAAGTACAAACTAGTAAAGATATAATGATAAAGCCTCATTCAACCTGCAAAAGTTTACTCAGATATGTTTTGATTGGTTTTTTTGACAAACTATATATATATACTGTTTGTGATGCAAAAAATTTAGGCCTGTTTTCAGAACTTTTTTTAAAATTTAACTCCTACTAAATATCTTAATACACACGTAATCCTCATTATAAATTAAAGAAAATTCTATAGTTGTGATATATTTATGTTACCTGGCCTGGCTTATGCCACGTGCATGGTACGTGCATTATTAAATTAAATAGTTTTAAAGAATAGTTAAAAAATAGTTTTAAAGGAAAAGGTTTTTAAAATGGTAAAAAATAGTTTTAAAGGAAATAAACTACTAAACTGGTAAAAAATAGTTTTAAAGGAAAAGGTTTTTAAAATCTTAAATTAAACAACTATTACTATGAAGCAAAACTCTGCATCAAATATTGAGGTGATTAATTTATAAATAGGTGGCACAGTAACGCAATCTGTTGACTTAACGAGTTAATACCATTTTATTCTTATAATGTTGGTAAGTTCGAATTCCGAACTTTATCCTGCTTTACCAGATCATTCTTATGCATTAGCTAAATAAAAAATTTAGGATTTATTCATGCATTATTAGCTAAGATATACTAGTATACAAATTTCAGCTCATTTATAGATTTTGAATTAGCTTTTTTCTTTTTTTACAAAGTAAACATATTCGCACAATCTTATATCAATAATTAATAATAAAGCTTTTTTTTTTTTTTTTTTTTTTTTTTATCGCGGTAGTACTTTTTCATGAAATCAAACGCGTACGATTTCGCGAAAAAAGGTTAGCGCCAATTGGCGCAGCTTTTATTTCAACGAGTACACGGAAAAGAACATAAAATGCAATTTATTTGTAAAAGGTGATCCAGTAAATAAGTCACAGTATTTATTACATTTTGATGCTATTAACATGCTGAAAATTTCATATACAGCGGCAATTTTCTTATACAATATGCTGAAACTTTCCAACCAATTCAACAGAGATAGTAAAATGAAAAAAATATTGGAAATAAATAATAAAATGCAGTTTAACTTAGCTATGAAAAGGTACAGGTCCCCCTTTTACAACATTCTTTAATCCTAGGCGCTGCAGCGGATAACCATTTTTTATTAAATTTTATGTGACCAAGCAGAGCAGGCATTTTCGTCCCATAGAAATGAATGTAAAGTATTTCCGGACTTTTGGAATTCGACCAGCAGTCACGTGACACTAATGTTGGAACCAGTCGGGGGTTGCTATAAGCTCTCTACAAGTATATATCTCGTTGTGCGGACCTCACTCTCTTTCTTCCGCCTCCCACACTCCTTTCACCCTTCTCTTTCTCCCAAGGAGGTTAGAATAGAAGGAGGGAGGTTTCACTCAAACGTGAAGCTTGGCGGCCATCTTCCTGTTATCACCACCGTGACTTGTGCAGGAAGTCTGTCATTGCAACATTTTTTTTCTTTTCTTTGAAGCATTCCCTTGTATTGCATATGGGATGCACAAATAGATTCTCGAAAAAAATTCCGGGTATTATTTTTAACACGTAAGTATTAATTTCTTTTTTAAATGTAATATGACAACTATGTCAAAAAATATCACAATGTCATTGTGGTTTCTTTCAGATGTGGAAAAAAGGACTTAACATAGGTTATTTAATATACTATAATCAAAATATATTAATAGTTTAATGTTTCTTTATAGCTCGTTATCTTTCGTTCCTTAAGATACAATGCTATATGGTAGGATTTAAATTGTATATTTGAACGTTTTAGTTAATTGTTTTATAACTTTCATGAAAGTAAGAAATCAATTGTTACTATTTTTATTAATTGTAATGTGTTAAATAAAGCAATGCTTTTCTTATATATTAATTATTATTCATTTTTTTAAGTTAAGATAAACTGTTCTGTTGTTAAAAATTTTTTGCATAAACTTACAAATTTCTTTCTGGCAGTATAGTGATAAATAAGAAATTTTAAATGGGTTGCATTTCCGTTTAATGAATATTATTAAGAATTATTTATTATATATACTAAAAAAGGCATACAAAATCAGCGAACGCTTCTAGGGTCGGCTTTAAGGTGGTCTACTACAGCAGCATTACAATACTAAAAATTTTTTTACACGCAGAATCGCTAATTAAGAAACTATGTTGCGTGCAATTTGGCAGAAATATAAAGCAATAGGTCAGTTTTCGAATCACAATGTTAGAATCAGGTTTGAAATGAAATTTACTTAAATATTATATTTTAAAAAAATTAGTTTGAAATACGTAATTTTAATGTGTAGTTTGGAAAGCCATCAATAGATGGCGCTACGAGTTAAAATTTAACATTGTAATCTTATTTCTGCAAAAATTCACGAAGTAATTGATTTTGATATCAGTTATAAATCATATTTTTTTCTAAATAATATTTAGAAGCGTTTCATATATTCCTTTATACACAGTTTTCATTTTCACTAAACATTGTCAGCTGTCAGCAGAATGACGTTTACGGCAACCCTATTGCATTGCTATTCCGCACTCGTTTTGTTTACATTTATTTGTACTGTGGTCAGTTTGCAAAAAATATGCGAAAATATCAAGGACGACCGAAAAAACATCCTGGTTTTAATAAAAGATCCAGAATTCAGCGTAAACGTCGAGCTCAAGAAAAAAATATGAAATTAAATTCCCGAGATGTGGAAGATTCCGAACAAGCGGATGTTTTCGAAAGGTGAGAAATAATTTATTCTTTATATCGACTACCCCGTGTTTATGATTTCGTAGTAAGTTAATTCCGAAGTAAAATATGCGTATTTTTTTTTTATTGAAGGTCAGAAATTATTGATACAACTGCATCTGTGTCAAAGGAGAATCATTGCCCGGATGATTTTTTTTACAAAGTAAGTTTTTTTTTTTTTTTTTTTTTTTTTTTTTTTTTGTATGTGTGTGTATGAGGGGATGCTAATAATTGTTCAATTCTGTTATAACAATTTATTCCTCCATTCACACTAAATTGTTGGGAAATATTGAAAGGGTAAATTCCAATTCACAAGGAATTGCTGAAATAATTGAATCTTTTCAAAAGTATGAGCATGTTCTTGCGATCTAAATTGAATTCACCATCATTACATGTATTATTGGAAATTTTATAGTCATATGTTTGCTACGAAATGCTTTGTCAGTTACCTATGGTATATTTTAACAGGTGTATGCACATTTTTATTCATGTGCTCGCTGTTCAACTTGCTTTTTTTTATTATGTCATTTACTTGGATGTTAAAACTTTCTTTTAGCGTTGGAACATTTTATGATCATTTAGTAAAATTTTATATATAAATATATATTATTGCTTGTTTATTTATGGTTCTGTGTATTTGTCATGTATGCATGTTGTGAAGTGTAGTTTTTTGAAAAATATGTCACAAATGTTAAATTCCACCAAAAGCTGAATTGAATTGATATTGGGATGCAGGTAATTAGAAAATATCTGCTGTGTATTTTGAGCGTAAACAGCAAACTAGTGCCAAGAATGGGACCAATACGCTCAGGCTTGCTTAGCCTTTTTTGCCATTGTCCAAATTGAATTATCTCCAGTATAAAGGGAGTGAATGCTTTCTCTGTATAACATTAAAATATCCGTCTGATCAAAAATCTACCAATATATTCATTGAAATCAGTGAAATTTTCAGTCGGGACACTGAAGCAAATGAAAATATTTTGGGGTTTGATTCTTTTGATGGGAGCCTCATCAATAAGCCTACTATCTTTTTTAAATATTGCTTCTTTTTCATTGTTTTCATGATGTTTTATGTTCCCTTCATGAAAGAGATTTTTAATAATTTAAATTTTGTTAATAAAATATAACAAAATGAAATCTGTGATTATGTGGCTGTTATTTTTTCCATATATATTTATTTGAGGAAAACCACAAATTTTATTATTTTACAGAATTTTTAAGAAAAATATAAGGATAAAATTTTTTAAATAATTCTGATTACTACCTTTGCTTTCCTCTCATAATGTGCCTCAAATTAGAGCAATTAGACAACAAATTTAAGTCGTGATCTTTTTTTTCCAAGTTTTTTTTTTTTAGGCTTAGGAGTATAAATTGCTTATCCCCACAAGACAGTGCATCTTCTTAGTATGCCATCCTAAGGCTCCGTTCACATGATGGTATAAATGTCATAGACGCATAATCATAAGGCACAAAATGTGGGAGTTCCATTCACACCTGCGAGAGAGGGTCTAAGCCATAGCCAATTAGAGAAGCTAAATTTGTGCATGCATGTATGTGTCTACAGCTTTCTCTCTCAATAGGTTTTATGTATATGCTCTGATTGGCCGACTCTTATATCAAGTCGGCACAAAGTTGAAAACTTCAAGCTTAATGCCCAAACTAGTTTTTGTGACATAGCAAGGTCTGACTACAAAGCGTTGTTAGTTGGGAATTATGACATTTATACAACGGCTTGAATAGAGCCTTAGAAAGCCATTTGGTAACTGAGTTATCCACCATGAAAGAGTTATTCTTGCCCCTCTGAATTCAGTGTTTACTGGAACACGAACATTTTATACTCAGGTGTAGAGGCCCTTCATGTGAAACCTCCGGCACACAAAGTAGTGACTAATATTGCACGAGCAAATGACACTGCGAGCATGGAAGCAGCAGTTGTGAAGATGACTCATCTTCTTGTAGTAATATACTGGTAATCCAGTGTATTATTATTGTTAATTTATTTGCTATCTGTTGCCTAAATTTCCTAAACCTAATTGCGAATGGGCTGCCTGCATGGGCGTTTTCATGGTTTTCCCTTTTTCCCCGTGTATATGAGCCATTTCCCTTAGAAAGTCCTCCATGAAAGCATTCCTCCTCTTAGGAAGATCAAGTGCTTTGCTGTCATCAAATAAGCCAAATTTAAACCTAATTTGTAATATTTATATATATTAATTATATATATGTATATATATTGTATATATATATATTTTAGCTTGGAGTCTGAGCCTCTTCAGGAGAACCTTAATGATGAATTTCTGTGTCCTGATTCACCTTTAATTATCGAAAGGGAAGATCGACGAAAGGCAAATCCATTACCATCTGGCAGAACAATTTGCAATATGTCTTTTGTAATAGTGCAGGCTAGGACATTAGAGCAACATTCCCTAAATTGTAAATTTGGAGGATCATTTATTTTTAACAAAGTGATTCGACGTGGTCTTGTCACTACATATAACTATGTATGTGATAAAATTTTATGTGGGGAAATGGCAACAATTTGTTCTGATATGGAGAAAAGCAGCCTAAATCAGCTTGCAGTATTAGGTGCGTTATCTACTGGCAGTGGATTTTCACAAGAGGAGGAAAAGTTTAGCATCATGGAAATTCCGTATATGAGCAACTCGACCTTTGCTTCTTGTGAGCGAACTACTGGCAAAATAATACAGGGATGTGCACAGGAAACTATGTGTGCTGCTATAGAAGAGGAGAAAAGGCAGGCAGAACTTCGCAATGATAAAGATAATGATGGTTATCACTGTATAACTGTCATTGTTGATGGAGGTTGGTGTAAAAGAAGCTATGGGCATGGTTACAATGCTTCAAGTGGCATATCTGTTATTATAGGCATGGTCACCCAGAAAATTTTGTTTGTTGGAATTCGCAACAAAGTGTGCCTTATATGCAGTGCTATTGAAGATGGCAAGATGCCAAATAAAGTGCACCTTTGTTGGCGAAATTGGAATGGGCCTTCTACAGGTATGGAAAGCAGTGCCATTGTGGAAGGTCTGAATTATCTCCAGTGTGTTCACAAAATACGTTGTACTCGACTTGTTGGAGATGGAGATGCTAACACAATGGCCAAAGTGAAAGAAAGCGTTTCATATGGAGGACGGGTGATCAAAGTAGAATGTGCTAACCATGCTGTTCGAAGATATCGCAGAGCTCTTGAGAAACTTCAGCAAAATACTGCGCGCTTCCCCGGGGCTAAAGGAATTGCTGCCCGTAAATTGCTGAAAATTAAAATGCCACTGTTAGTCAGAGGTGCTAGAGTAGCTATAAAAGCTCATGCTTTACCTAGCCATTATCAGCACACACAAGAAGCTATTGATGCATTAGTATCTGACTTGAGAAATGGGCCACATCATATATTTGGCAAGCATGATGCTTGTAGTGCTTTTTGTGCAAAGAAAGGTGCAGAGTTGGACAGCACATACAATGAAATTTTTTCCTCGGGTATGTTGCAAGCTATTGAAGCAGAAGTGGGAAGAGTACTGATATCGTGTAGCAGTACTCTTATTTGGAATGCCACAAATAATCCTGCTGAAAGCTTCATGAGTCAACTGTGTAAAACATCTGGTGGAAAAAGAGTTGATTTTTCCAAAGCTGGTGGCATGAACAGGCGTGCGAGTATTGCTGTCATGGCCTATCAAAATCCAGCACAGCAGTGGCAAAAAAATGCACAAAAAGCTGTAACAGGAAGTAGCCCCAGGACTCCAACTTTGAAATTCTTAGCTTCCAGAAATAAGCGCCATGTAAAACGTCTTGAGAGACGTAGACTTTTTGACACTGAGAAGAAAAAGAGAAATATGAGGAAAGCAGGACATATTCAGCAAGGTGGGGATATTTCTTATGGTGATTTTCCTGAGAAACCAGACCTATCAGATGAAGCATATGAATTGGCAGCTAAAAATTTTTTTATATCAATTGAAGTTCCAAAAAAAGATTCTCTTGAGGCCGTAACACGTGGACAGTCATCATCTGAAAGATGGCGTCATGAAAGATCAAGAAGAATATCATCATCCTTTTTCAAAGATGTTGCTGATAGGCGTCCAACAACACTCAGTGCTGCTTTAGTGAAACGTATCATATATAATGATAACGTTTCAACTAAAGCATTAAAGTATGGCTTGGCTAACGAAGCAGTAGCCTTAAATCAATACAAGGAAAAGCACATGGGAAAAAACATCAGACGTTGTGGCCTTTTTATTGATCCTAAATATCCCTTTCTTTGTACTTCGCCAGATGGATTGATAGACGAAGATGGATTACTTGAAATAAAATGTCCTTATACAGCCAGATTCTCAGCAGACTTGTCAGACTTTTTCAGCAAGCCTAATTCTGTTGGTCTTCGGATGGATGCTGATAATAATCTTTATTTACCGAAAAGCCACAAATATTATTTTCAAATTCAAGGGCAGTTAGCCATAACAGAGAGGAATTGGTGTGATTTATATATATGGTGCAGAGAAGATGCAATCACATTAAGAATACCCGAAGACAAAACTTTCTGGATCAGTTTAGTTCCAAAACTCGAAAAATTTTACGTGAATTGTATTCTTCCTGAGCTTGTTGATCCAAGAGCACCAAGAAAAATGTCTCTTAGAGAACCGAAGTATATTGTTGATGCTAGAGCACAGAATGAGAAACAAAAACAGGCCACTGCTTCTGTAAAACAAACACAAGAAAAAAGAGAAATTGAAATTTCAGAAGCAGATAAAATTATTTCATCTCCTAGAAAGAATGCAGGAGAGAAAAGAATCAGGAAACCAAAAATTATTTTTGATTTGTAATCAGTAACAAGCCAAGCCAGCACACCGTAACATTTTCTACGTCTGAATAAAAACTATGCCTGCAACAAAGCATTATGATTAAATCCATACCTAATTAGAATATTACCCCATTTCTCTAAAAAAATATGTTCAAAAAGTCTCTGCTTTCAGTAATAGATACGTCTGATCAATTCTGCCATAATTCTGTAATCAATACTTGAAGCTAGAATCTCCTGTGCTGCACTGCCATTGCATCTCTTTTCTGAATGTTTCATCATCCACTTCTCATTCTAAATATTCCTGTGTGCTTTCATTTATAGCTGCTAACTTGTTGTGAACATTTTCTGCACCACATGTTATATTTTGCAGTGTAAATAATGCGTGCAATCATATATTTTGGTTTTAATCATCAGTAACTTTGGTAAAACTACATTTATGCAAAGAAGACTTCCATAAAGTCACAGTTTCTGTGAAAAAGAAAATAAGTTTGATGACCTCTGTCATAATTCAATAAATAATTTTTTAAAATAGCATCACCTGTGCTGCACTAACATTGGAAAAAATTAAAGTCATCTCTTTTCTGAATGTTTCCTCATGCACTTCTGTTTCTAAGTATTCTTGTGTGCTTTGATCCATAGCTGATAACTTGTTGAGAATATTTTCTGCGCCACATATTATACTTCGCTATGTAAACAATACCTGTAATGATGTTTTTCGGTTTCAATCATCAGTAACTTCTGAATAACCACATGTCTGTAAAGAAAACCTCCATAAAGTCACTGCCTCTGTAGAAAGCAAAACAAGTCTGATAAACTCTGCCATAATTCAGCAGTCATTTTTTGAAGATAATCTCCTGTGCTGCACTGCCACTAATTATTAAAGATAACATCGTTTCTTTTGCCCTACCGTTGCAGAAAATGAAAATCTTTTCTTTTCTGAATTTGTTCTAGTACTCATGTGGCCTGATATGCTTGTTCTCTAAACATTCCTGTATATTTTCTGTGCAGCTGCTAACTTTTTGTGAACATTTTCTCCACCATACTGTATACACCTGCTTGTAAACAGTGATAGCCATTAAGTGATGTACATCTACATATACTTAATTTGAATACAAGAAATAAATATATGTCTGATGAACTCTGCCCTAATTCAGTAATCAATTTTGAAGATAGCATCTCCTGTGCTGCAGTGCGATTGCTGAAAATTAAACTGATCTCGTTTCCGAATGTTTCCACGTCCACTTCTGCTTCTAAATATTCCTGTGTGCTTTCTCCATAGCTGCTAACATTTGAACATTTTCTGCACTACGTGTTATACTTCACAATGTAAAACAATGCCTGCAGTGAAGTATTTTGGTTTCATTCTTCTGTAATTCCAGTATAACTCCATTTCTCCAAGGAAGACCTCCACAAAGTCACTGCTTCTGCAGAAAAATGTGTCTGATAACTGTACCATAATTCAGTAATCAATGTTTGAAGAGAGCATCTCCAGTGCTGCACGCGATTGCTGAAAATTAAATTGATCTCTTTTCCGAATGTTTCCACATCCACTTCTGCTTCTAAATATTCCTGTGTGCTTTCTCCATAGCTGCTAACATGTGAACATTTTCTTCACCACGTGTTATACTTCACAATGTAAAACAATGCCTGCAGTGAAGTATTTTGGTTTCATTCTTCTGTAATTCCAGTATAACTCCATTTCTCCAAGAAAGACCTCCACAAAGTCACTGCTTCTGTAGAAAAATGTGTCTGATAACTGTACCATAATTCAGTAATCAATGTTTGAAGAGAGCATCTCCAGTGCTGCACTGCATTGCAGAAAATTAAATTGATCTCATTTCCAAATGTTTTGTCATCCACTTCTGCTTCTAAATATTCCTGTGTGCTTTTCCCGTAGCTGCTAACTTGAACATTTTCTGCACCATGTTTTTCTCAGAGTAAACAGTGCCTACAATGAAGTATTTTGGTTTTATTCATCAGTAATTTAAGTATAACCACATTTCTGTAATGACCTCCACAAAGTCACTGTTTCTGTAAAAAAATGTATCTGATGAACTCTGCCTTATTTCAGTAATCAACTTTTGAAGATTACATATCCTGTGCTCATTCCCATTGCAGAAGATATCTCTTTCCGAATGTTTCCTCATCCAGTTATGCTTCCAAATATTCCTGTGTGCTTTCATTTATAGCTGCTAACTTGTTGTGAGCATTTTCTGCACCAAGTGTTATACTTTTCAATGTAAACATTGTCTGCAATGAAATATTTTGGTTTTATTCATCAGTAATTTCAGTATAACTCCAGTTCTCCAAGGAAAAGCTCCACAAAGAAAGATCTCCAATACAATTATTTACATTGTGTATTCTGATAGGCTTTAGAAATTTTTGAAAGTATTGGAAATTAATAACTTGGCATCGAAAGTGAAATTACAATTGTACTGAGTAAAAAGACACGTTTTATTTACAGGAATTCTATTGGACATTGGGTATTTCCTGTATGCTACAACATGTGCTTTATAAAGCAAAAAGATACGTTGGATTTACAGGAATTCTATTGGACATGAGGGACTTTCCTGTATGCTACAACATGTGCTTTATAAGGCAAGGACATTGCTTAAGAGGGTATAGATATCGTTTGCGGAGAGGACTCCGAGACAGTGAGCGTTAAGTTGCTAGTTCCCCTCGCTTTGTGTTTTTCGCCTGATACTGCTATAGTAGTTTGGTGCGCCAACTTCAGTTAGGAGCACTGTAGGAAGGCCTAGCATGCCATATGGTTTTATTGAATTTTTTACTGATTTCTGCATTATTAATGAGCAATTTTTTTCCAGTTTATTGTTTCTGAGATCACAAACTTGGAATATATATTCGAAAGTAGTGGTTCCTCTCACTGCTGCTGAAGAATGTGACCTTGATTTCTTCAAACACCTTAAAATGCTTGCTCATAACGATTTCCTGCAGAAGCAAAAATGAGCATCCAGAGATGAAAGTTTCCAAACTCTTCAAAGCAAGCGGATAGCATTGAACAGCAACCTGGGGATGATGAAAGTCATAAAATCTGGTGACCCGCAGGCAAGAAAATTTAAATGATGATAGCTGCTATAAGCCGATCGGCGGAAGTTCAGATTCCGGCAATGAGCCAAGAAGAAATAAAACTATTTGTCACCAGCCAGAAAGAGTAAGGAAAGTGTCTGCTAACATGAGAATGAAGGTTTTTGATGCTGCAAAAAAGCTGATGGAAATAGAAATGCCAGTACCCAGACTGACATCCCCTTCCCCCCGGGGGTTGACGTAGAGAACTCTGCGAAGCTACTGGCTAGGATCTGTATCTAGGCAGTCTCGGATTCTGCTACACCAAACAAGTGGCTTGCATTAATCCTATCACAATTCAGGACTCCTGATTCAGCTGGAAGGACATCCATACAATGATATTTGAGAAGAAGACATACAAAATTGAGTATTGTGGAAAGATGATTGCTTATATCTTGAACGTGGATGATCCACTTGTCTACAAAACTCATAACCATTCTAAAAAATAAGGACATCAAATTTCAGTGCATCCTGCTCTCACAAGAGAGAAAGGTGATCATTAGAAGCCTTCCCAGCTCCACATGTTAATGCTGCCTCATGTTGCATAATATAATAATACACACACTGGCCAATCAATAAGAAACCTTTCAGATTTTCATCTGAATGCATGCTAGGGATGAAATATCCAAATTTTTTCTATGATGTGGATTATACTTGGTTAAAATGCCAGTATAAGTAAGGTGTAAGAGTGCTTTTCATGATGAATGAAGTAAAATGGGGAAAAAAGGCGGCAGATCGTTCACCATTTGAAAAAGGGGCTTATTGTTGGTGCACATTTAGTGGGGGCATCGATTTCGAATCCTTCTCTAAAAAATGTAACTGCAGTTCGAGCATAGTTTTCAAAGACAGTGATCGGCGGTATCTCCGATGAATTGTACGGCAGAACACGGATTCAACTATCACAAATCGTCAACCAAGGCTCTTCCCAACAAATTTCAGCTAGAACTATGCGCAGCGAATTGCAGAGGGATAGGAATGCATAGTTTTGGTGCCTGTAAGAAAATCACTCAGTTCTGCCGACATGCAAGACTTCATTTTCAGTGGTGTCGAGAAAAGACACTGGACATCTGAGGATTGGAAATGGGTAATGTGGTGGGATATTACATTATGTATTACATATTAAACATAAGTTATGGGTTACCTCATAACTACAGAAGGTTCCTGTTCGCTGCCAGAAAAGGTTGAAGTAATCTGCAATGTAAATTACCGACAATACATGAGCTTTGTTCATTTATGGGCATGATAAAATTTTATCGATGCTTTTTGAAAAATGCTGCAGAAACTCAAGGAGTCATACACGAAATGTTAAAGGGTGATAAAAAAAGATCATTGTAAAGTTCCATGCACAGATGAAGGTGTTTAGTGTATTTAATTATGGCAAAGCACACTAGGGCTATCTGCCTAAGAGAAGGGATGCCTTCGTGGAGGACTTTCTAAGGGAAACTGGCTCATATACACGTTACACATGGGGAAAACCACGAAAACGCCCATGCAGCCAGTACGTTCGCGGGATTCGAACCTCGGACCGAACTACCAGTGTTCAGCGATTTTACCGCTCTCTGCCGCTGGTAGGCCTGCACAGATGAAGGAATTCACCAGTTTGAGAAGTGCAAATCTGATTTAGTCAATGGTGCCCTTTTGTGTTTCCCAATGGATTACCCTTTGTGTGCAGATACATCAGACTTTCCTATAGGATCAGTATTGCAGCAATTGGAAGAACAAGAACAAGACTGAAAACCTATTGTGTTCTACTCTAAAACATTAAATAATGCACAGAAGGTTTATAGTACCTATGACAGAGAATTCTTAGGAATATATCTTTCTGTCAAGCATTTTAAACATGTATCGGAAGGACGCAAATTCATCATACTTACTGATCACAAGCCACTGTCATATGCATAGAAGCAAAAGAATGGGAAGGCATAACCCAGACAACAACACCAACTTCAGTATATATCGGAATTTTCAACTGATATTCAGCATATTGATGCCAAAGAAAATTTAGTTGCAGTTGAAGTAGTCTCAGTTACTGGCTATGAAGCAGTAGCAGATGCTCAAGAATATAATGAAGAATTGCAACATTTAATGACAGGTAGTGCTTCACTGAAATTTAAATCATCTACATTAGCATTTTGGAAAACATTAAGATGTGACAGCTCAACAACCAGTATCAGGCCTTTTATTTCAAAGCAATTTAGACAACAAATGTTTCATCAAATTCATAATTTTGCTCCTCTGGTATCAGGACAACTGTCAACGAGATGACTGAAAAATTTATCTTTCCAAATATAAAGAAAGAAATTCACGAATAGACTTAAAGTCCTGTTAATTGTCAAAGGAGCAAAGTCAACAGGCATACAAAATCTAAAATAGCCGAGTTCCAAGCACCTCATGCTAGATTAAGTATTGTGCAAGTTGACCTGATTGGGCCATTACCACCATCTGCTGGTAGGACGTATTATCTGACATTTATTGACCATTTTTCCTGTTAGGGAGAAGTAGTTTCTTTACCAGATATCACAAGAGAAATGGTTGTCAAAGCATTTTACAATCATTGGATTAGCAGATTTGTTGTGCCTAGTTCCATAATCTCAGATCAAGGAAGACAGTTTGAGTCGCAGCCTTTCAAGAGCCTTGCAAAAGTATGTGGTGCTAAAGTTTTACGTTCCACTCCATACCACCCACATTGCAGTGGGAAAATTGAGCAGTTTCTCAGAACTTAAAAAAATGCAATAAAGGCTCACAGCAACATCAGATGGACAGAAATCCTTCTAGGATTCAGAGTTGCAATATGTCCTGATACTAATCACTCTGTAGCTCAAATGGTATATTTTATGCAAATAAGGTTACCATGTGAGTTTTTCGACTACCTACCACTAAAACTAAACCTGAACCATTTGTAACAAATTTACTGTCTTTTATGGATCAGCACCAGTTTATCAACTGCTAACAAACATAAAATATTTATGCATAAAGACTTGAGATCATGTTCTCATGTGTTTGTGAGAACTGATCGTGTGAAAAAGGCACTTGAATTTGCTTATTGAGGGACCATTTTTTTGTGGTGAAAAAATA